GGGGGGGGGGGGGGGGGGGGGGGGGGGGGGGGGGGGGGGGGGGGGGGGGGGGGGGGGGGGGGGGGGGGGGGGGGGGGGGGGGGGGGGGGGGGGGGGGGGGGGGGGGGGGGGGGGGGGGGGGGGGGGATCTCACATTTTATTCCTTGCTACCAAACTCCAAAGCAGATGATACAACTTGCAGATGAGCCACCATTATCTACTGGGTCCCTTCACGTTTCTGCATACAAGAAGCAATGATGAAAAAGGATAGACACAAGTTCTAAAATAAGAAAGCAGTTATATATTGCCATTCAAGAAGGAACCTAGCCAAAAAACTGGTATTGAAAAGTTTATTGACAACAATACAACTTTTTCCAAGATAGATAGAGTGAAACATATCATCAATTATTCTGCACGTCCCTCAACTTGCACATTCATTTGACCAACAGTCAGTAACAGTTACAACAATAGTGAGAGAAGGTTGTCATGTTCCAAAATAGCAGCAAAATTTGTCATATTTTAGAAGTATAAAGTGATGATTAGAAACATGTTTTTGCTATAAAAAGAAAAAAGAACAAGGCTTCGGCATGCTACATGAGGACACGAGGACTAAATCGAAGGCATCTATTAAATCTCAGCAGCTACGAACATATAGATAGTTCCCACAGAACCGCAATTGGTCATAAGCAAAAGTCAACCATAAGAGCTATCAATCTATATCTATTTCAGAGACTTATGCTCAATTTCCATATAGGTATAAAAAACTGAATAATAGCATCGAATGAATAGCCAATGCAAGGTACTCAAGCAAAGGATCATAAACAAAGAATAAAGGATAATGGATCCACATCTCACAAAGCCGCAAAGCACTATCCACATAAATATTGCATCGATCACAAAATATGGATCATCATCGTCTCTTATGCCACAAATCAACTGACAAATAATGGTCAACCAGAAAACAAGTCGCCGATTTATACCAAAATCATAACAGTAATGAATACCTTCTCCGACTGTTCTTTCTCCTTTTCGGCCTTTTCTTTCTCAGCCTTAAGCCTCTGTTTCTCCAGCTTTTCTCTTTCCATTTTCTACAAAAAAGAAAAAAAGAAAAAAAGAAAAAAAGGAAGACAATAACTAAAAGTCGGAGAACACAAGCTCCTAGCGTGAAAAGAGGTACCGTCTAATATAGACAATAACTTGATTTTCACTTCAGTCCGTATCTATTTGAGTTTTGTACAAATGAACATTCGATAAACCATCTCCTACTATAGTAGATCGGATATCACAACCTCCTTGCACGAAAAGAAATACCATCTTATAAACAGTAAACATTCTCTCACTCCAATCCGTTTTATTTGAGTTTTGAACACGTGAACATTCGATCAAACAGATAGATGATCATAATCCTACTATTATAAATCCGAGAACGGAAACTCCGCGCACAAAAACATAATACCGAAACAGTAACTTCACTTTCGCTCCAGTCCATTTCTATCTGAGTTCCTAACAAGTGTACTTTCAACAGAGAAGATCAATAATCGGAGTGCTATAAGTTTCTACACATTTTTCTCTAACATTTGTAACAACAAATTAAACCTGGATGTAGACGTTCTCGGCAGCACGCTCCTCCTCACTGAGAACTCGACCTTTGCCGTCGGAAAAGTATCGAAATCCACCGGGGCCGGAAGCACGCATCGTCAAGGGAGTCGGCGAGATACGACTGAGCACCGATCGCATGGCCATTTGCGTTCTGTGTATCGAAATATTCTAGAGAGTGACAGTGGCTTCTTCAATCTTGGTTACCCTAAAAATGACCGAGCCTTTCCCAATTTGTTTGGCGGTTGGATAACTCATAGCGGTTCCCGGTCGGACCGGACCGCACCGGTTTACTGGTGTATGTGACGCCCTCAAACCCGGCTTTCAGTTAATATATAATGGAAAAGAAAAATCAAAATATGCAGCCCTAAAATAAATAGGTTAATAGATTAAAAAAAAAAATTTATTCAGTTTAAAACTAATAGGATTTAAAAATTATAATTAGATATACAATTTTGCTAACAATTTAATAGCAACCGATGTCCGTCGTATGTACGGATCTTCAATCTCCCGGTTCATTAGGATCTTCCATTTTCAAATGGCCTTTGCTTTAGTGGCTCGCATATGATTGGTAATGAAGAAGTCAAATCGATGATAAGACGGTAAACCCTTTGTTCTGTAGTCCCTTATTTCTTTGAAATTTTTTTTAGAATCTACCGTTCAGTTCAAATTCAGACCATCGAATTCTGTTCTGAATTTTGTTAGATGACTGTGATCTAGAAAATGGTTATAGTTTGTTCTTATGTGTTCAGAAATGGACGTTTCTTGAGAAACTTTGGAAGTCTCCACGGACGAACAATATGAATGGTGAAAGCTTTGGACCGATGATTTCTTTCTTCAAATTAGTTCAACAATCCTTAACACTAAATAAACTACTCTCGTGTCGAGCCCTGTCGAAGCATCCAAGAAAAGTGGTCCTAATATTTCAAAATCTAGTATAAAACAATCAGCCCCGTCAACATCCTACTGGTGCGTGTCGGGAGAGTAGTCGAAAAATGGTAATCAAACGTCTTTTGTGTACAACAATTCATATACTGTTGTGTTCGTTGAATCATATGATTGAAATATTTATTATAATTAAATTATTATTATTATTATTATTATTTTAATTTTTAGTTTACAAATTGTTTATTAAAAAAATTAATTTTGAAAAATAGTCAGCCTACTGTAAGTTTATGTAAACATTATCATCTTAAAAATAGATAGCTTAATTTCTCTTGAATTGAATAAATGGTCAGATAGCTTAATTTTTTAGATTATTAAATTGAATAAATGGTCGGATTTTATATGTTGGATGAAAGTCCTATATCGACTAATTTAGGGAATGATCATGAGTTTATAATCAAGAAATATTATTTCTATTGACGTGAGACCTTTTGAAAGCAAAGTCATGAGGGTTTATGCTCAGAATAGTATCATACCATTGTGAAGAGTCGTATTCATCTAACATAGTATCAGAGCCATGACCTAAACTTCCAATATTTAAGACTACAAGAAACTGGGAAGTGGGTCCTACGGGAAATAATTTATATTAATGGTTGCTTACTGCGCATCCGAATAAAGGCGCAAAAGTGGCGACGAACAAAGGCTCTAGAGCGAGAAAGAGAGAGGGAAAGAAAAGAGGAGTGAGAAAAAAAGCTCTTCTTCTTCTTCCTGCTGCTGCTATTCCTGTTCTTCTTC